CCCCCCCCCCTTTTTTTTTTTTGGAGCTGGCTTGCATATCACAGAGATTCTATCTTTGGGACATCTGATTCAGACTTAGGTACAACCGGAAAAATAAAAGAAAGAAAAAGGGTAGGGGGTGGGGGGGAGAGTAAAATGTCTTCATTCGGAACGACGAAAGCAAAGATCGCTGAATGAATTATTTGCCGCTCAGTGTCGGACGAACTTAATATGGCGCACTGTTTCAAAGTAGCTAGTACAAACGCTGATCTTCTACCATATCTAATTCATCAGCTTGGTTCGCCGGCACACGAATGACGTGGCGTTTGGCGAGGGGCAGCGTGATTAAACGGTTAGAGCGCTGGAATTGTAACCCGTACGCCCAGAGTTCAATCCCTGCCCAAACAGCTTAGCTGGATTTGTTCTCATTGTTAGTTCAACATTTCAGTCACGCTTGTAAATGGCCAACTGATTTGCCTCCGGCCAGTTAAGATTCTTAACCTTGTGGGTCGCAATAAAAACTATTGGTTTACCAGTAATTGTGCTAGTCCTATGGAATCATACATATTTTTGAAAGAGGCCTGACACGCTGACTTGAACCGAGAGTTACTTCCCGACTTAAGACTTTGTTCTCTGGGCAATTTTCATTGACAGAGATACGTTTTGGTGAGCGTTTCTAATTCCTTCCCTTCACCACATCTCAATCCATTGAGTCGTTAGACAATCAAACAAAAACAACGAGATCAAACAATCTTATAGAAGTACACTCAAAGCGATAGCCAAAGATATACCATGAAGTCACACTTCCGTCAGGAGATCTGAGCTTAGCACCATTTTAGAGTGTATAGCTGATTACCTTTCAGGGCTACAAAGCTTTTTTTCTTTCATACCTCAAGAAAGCAAGGTGCAAAACAAAGCTAACTTTTTACAAACCTTTCCTGTGGCGTCTTATTCGGAGAAGTGATGACTGTGATTTGACGAACGTGCCTTCTTTCTGAGCTACCTGTCACATTAACCGGCTATCACTGTTAAAACTGAGCTAATGATAACACTGACCTAACGCTAATATTGGGCTACTGTTAATACTTAGCTAATACATGTACTCTGCTGATGTTAGTAGTGAGCTAATGTTACTAGGGCGGGAATGTTAATACTGAGCTGATGCTAATACTACGCTAATGTTAATACTGTTCTGATGCTAAACTAAGCTAATGATAATACTGAGCTAGAACAGATATAGCGCTGATGTTAATTATAAGGTAATGCTACTGGCGTGTGTGCTATAGCCAATATTGAGCTCATACAAACACTGCACTGAGCAGGAACCTGACCTGACATGTTGATGCTAAGTTGATAGTAATATGGAGCACATGCTAACTCTGAGCTCACGCTGATACTAATCTAGTGTCCATATACCCAAGCTCACGTTAATGCTGAGGCTGAACGCTCTTTTTCAGTTGAGCGACGTGGGTCGAAAACATTTACTTCGGCCAATCAAGACATAGAATGCACTCCAATAAACCAATCAAACTTTGAAAGCTTTTGAAGTACGTGCATGAAGCTGATGTAAAGCGCGGAATGTGATAGTCACGACTCGTGTCGGCTTCTAGAGCTTTCTAAACGATTCTAACTTTGAACAGGAAAACAACACGCAATTCCTTACCAAATCGTTATTGTCCTCAATAATTTCCTCATCCTTAACTTCTTCGCTTTGCCTAACATTCACACTCTCATCTCCATCATTCTGGTTTACGATTTCTTCAATTTCTTCGTCCTCGACTTCTTCAGCGGGCAGTTGATCTATTGGCTTGTCCTCCAGGGTTTCTTCAAAAGGAAAATGAATTGCAACATAACGTTAAGGCATCATACGTGTCGGCAAGAAACAATCCCACGATTTCACCGTCACAACTGTCGCATTCATGATTCCTTTCGGCGTTAGAGAACAGAACGATTTTCGTTTGACCTTAAAAAATGGTTTCGGTAAGTTTTCGTTATTCGTTTTATCAGCCAATGGATGAAAAGATCAAAACAAGGACTCTTCGTTTTCCCGCCAAAGAGAAACCTAATATGGAGAAGGCATTGTTTGATTGGCCAATCGTGTAGCAGTATGACGTCAAAGCGAAGTATCGATTGATTTCTAGAAAGTTCTCGGGCATGAAGTTTTTTACCCGAGCGTTCGCTTAACCAAACGAAAGCCACGCGTGTTTGTATCCGTTCGATAAACCAATGAAATCGCTCTATTTCCGTTCGTTTGCTGTTTCTGTTTTGTTCGCGCGTTTTCACTTCAAGCTCACACGAAAATCGCTCTAATACGATATGAAGGTGGTTTTACTATTCTCCTATAATAATAGATGAATGGTTATAGTTACCATTCATACACGGTATACAGTATGTTACGCGCCTTACCAGCCACAGGCGAAATTGTTTTTTAACAAGTTACGTACCTCCCGTGTATGGCCTGACTTACGCATTATTTTATCCAATCAGAAGTCAGCATTCACGCAACCTGAAGTAAGCCGGATTTATAGCAAGGCAGGTTTGAGCGTGGGTACTTAAACGCGCAGCATCGCTTTTCAACTCGTTTTGGAGAAATATTACAAAACACGTTTCACGTTTTTCTTGCCTATTATGAATAAGTTCACAGTACGGGGCACTTACCTCGGTCATCTTGTATTTCCCCTGCAGCGACCTGGTGCTCACCACTCGCTTCATACACAGAGGGTTTTACTGAAGAACAAAAATGTGGGTAAAAATCAGTGGATGGTCAGCATGAAAAGCCACTCGCTGTGATAAAATTAACACCGTTTCCAACATTACAAGACAAGATACTCGAGACTAAACTTTAGATTCAATGACGAGGACCACTAAGAGGACGATATTTGACTTATTTACTTTTTTTTTTCGTATTCTTAAAAAATACACCCCGGAAAGCCTCATTGTACTTTTTTCCAACAGAATAGTTAGCACGGTTATTTTTGGTGAAGGAAGATTGCAAAATGATAAAACTTCTAACATTTGATAACTTATTTTCGTTACTACGACATTCTTGCTAAGACCCATAGTAGAATGACGACGGCCGTTGCGTTTTCTCGCCAAAATGACGCTGGCTCACGCAAGCGCAATACTTAGTATTGAGAACATTTCACCCTCGTAGTCGTCCCCGGTTGTTTACCATTTACAAAAAAAAATTCCGAAAAATGCGGTTGGAAAGTACACAGAACACGACTTTTTCGGTCGTTCCAGAGGAAAAATTTCCTGAACGGATCAACGGAACATTTGAAAAGGTAGTCCTGGAACGACCCAAAAAAACTGTTCCAAACGTGTTCCATTTGTTCAAAACCATCTTTAATCATCTTTGATACCAGTTTCAGGCCTTCGCGGCCGTTTTGGGGGAAATGGAACTGATTTGTACAAATGGTAAACACGATTCCGGCAGGAAATTTACCAGTCCTGAATTTTGCTTACCACTTGCCTTAATCCTGAACCGATCAGGTTGCCCTTGAAAGTGGTAAACAAACTCCGACTTAGAATNTTTTTGGTGAAGGAAGATTGCAAAATGATAAAACTTCTAACATTTGATAACTTATTTTCGTTACTACGACATTCTTGCTAAGACCCATAGTAGAATGACGACGGCCGTTGCGTTTTCTCGCCAAAATGACGCTGGCTCACGCAAGCGCAATACTTAGTATTGAGAACATTTCACCCTCGTAGTCGTCCCCGGTTGTTTACCATTTACAAAAAAAAATTCCGAAAAATGCGGTTGGAAAGTACACAGAACACGACTTTTTCGGTCGTTCCAGAGGAAAAATTTCCTGAACGGATCAACGGAACATTTGAAAAGGTAGTCCTGGAACGACCCAAAAAAACTGTTCCAAACGTGTTCCATTTGTTCAAAACCATCTTTAATCATCTTTGATACCAGTTTCAGGCCTTCGCGGCCGTTTTGGGGGAAATGGAACTGATTTGTACAAATGGTAAACACGATTCCGGCAGGAAATTTACCAGTCCTGAATTTTGCTTACCACTTGCCTTAATCCTGAACCGATCAGGTTGCCCTTGAAAGTGGTAAACAAACTCCGACTTAGAATCTAAAGGTCTGTTAAAACGCTGCACGTACCATCAGCTGAGCCGCTCCCTTGTCTTTCATTGATGATTTCTTCAAGAGGGACCCCATTGTCTCCCAGGACATCAGCAGTGTCCTCTTTAATAGTTTCATCTAATGGGATTTCTTCTATGTCTTGTTCTTGTGAAGAGTCCTTCCTTGCCGCGTAAGACCTCAGTGGTTTATCTTCAACGAGTTCTGAATTGAGGTCGTTGTCTGCGACTGATTCTAGCGTATCTTCAAAACTTCGAAAATTTTCGACTTCTCTTGGAGATTCAGGGGACGAAACGCTTTTAGCATCTCTTAAAGAAACGAGCGCAGGTATCGTCTTGTTCTGGATATAAAATAAGGATAAGATTAAAGAAATTGAAACAATCGCCTTTCTATGGTGCAATTAGCCCTCATTAAGGTAATCGAAGACAGTCACTGAAGATTGGATTCTGGATTTCGGATTTCTCGTAAGTGGAACTTGGATTCCGGATTCCAATCGTTAAAATGTAAAGGCTTTCTTTCCTCAGGGACAAAGGAAACTGTCCGTAATAAAGAGGTGTCCATAAAGCGGGTTTAACTGTACATTAACTGATGTGCGCCGTTTAATAATACATAGATTTAGCCAGGGCTAAAAGCGAAACTCTGGTTAATAATATGTGTAAACAAAAAAAGTTAAATCGTGTAATGCTAAACGGGGACGACAATGAAAATGGCTTCAAGACTAATAGATCTAATTGGCAAAAAAACAAATTGCACGTGCAGCACACCTTTTCTTCTCATTAGCAAAAAACAAATTTGCACGTGCAGCTTTTTTGTCTTTCCCTTGCCGTTGTTTTGCACGACTACAACGCTGTTTTGTACGACCAAAACGTCAAACTTCCTAGTTACACATTATTTTTATGGAGAAATTGTTGCATGTGCTTACCCAATATTTTCTTTCCTGTGTTCATGTTCGCTTTTATTTTTCACTGCCGCTCATTTTCACCTTGCTGACCGCTAGCATTTCTCATTTTCGCACCGCCGCTTTGAATTTCCATGTTTTTCTTCCCAAGAAATTCGTCTCCTTTGTATTCAATAACTCGCTCTAGCTCTTTCTCTGTTATCCACGTTAGTGTAAACATAAAAAATAATGCCGAAAAAGACGCGACTTTTTTCTTTCTAAAAGTCCGGGCGGCCATGTGATTTCCTTCCAAATAAAACCTTGAGTTGCATTTGGGTTCCCATACCTGTTGATTGAGTTATTTTACATTGGCATACCCGTGGTGCGGACGGACGGTCGCTCGCTGTGCGGTCACGTGATTACCAAATTTTCTCGGATGGGTAGATTACCACATTTCCTTAGCTATGGAGCTCCGCTAAAAAAATGCTTATTTCTTATTTCTGCTTATTTGCAGACTTCTAAAGTCAAATAGGAAAAGGCGAACAATTTTGAGTTAGTGTTCAGTAAAGTGAAAAAAAAATTGTGTAATTCCAGTGAGTAGTCACGTGAACAGCTCAGAGAGAGTTTTTGTCTTCTGTTTCAATATAGTTGCAAATTCTCTCTCACTCCGTGAAACAAGGTTGCGTGCAGGTAAGCTTTCGTTTACGCATATACTTTAACATATTGTTCCCTGAAACTGCATATTTTCACTTAGGTCTTTCCTTTGATATAATTTTTTCCATGAGAAACTCCAAATTTTGTAATGCTATCGTTTAAAAGCCATACTAACAAGTATATGTATCCACTATGGCGGCGCAACATTAACACGTGTTCCATCGTGGTCTGTGTAAAATTTGCGTTCTGTAAATATTTTATTGTGAAGAAAGTAGCGAAGACAAATTAATTAGAAGGTGCCAAAATAGAATACATACACGGTAAAAAAGAGAGAGAGAGAAAAAAAACCCGTAAACATTCATGCGTCTCCATGCTACACTGTAAGCCCTACATTGTTTAATCACGATGTTGGTGAAACATTTCTCTGAATACCTCGCAAACAAAAGTACACACAGACCTGAAATTAGGCAAGGTTTTTGACGTATTGGTCTTTTATCACCCCTTATATTGTGAGTTTATTACAGTCAAACGTCGTAAATACAGACACAGAAGGGGCCATAGACTTGGTACAAGGCGACCTCACGAGTTTGGCGAGCGAAGTGAGCTTTTTTAGGTTTCGAAGCTGCCGACCGAGCGAAGAAGTTCTGACGAAAGACTTTTGAAAAGTCTAAGGGGGCCATAAAAAGTGTGCCTATTAACGAGGTGTCCGTATTGAGCGGGTTGAATTTAGAGAAAATGTAAAGGCTTTCTCTCCCTAGGGATAAAGCAAACTGTCTGTAATAATGAGGTGTCCATTTTAAGTGGGTATCTGTAAATGACTGCAAATGGGTTTGGGTTTTATTTTTGAAGGCAAGTCAATGATGGGACTCTCTAACAGGGTGCATCAAAAAATAATAACTACAACAATAATAAAATACTCACATGATCCTCGTCATCAGAGACAATAGACTTCTTTTTCCTTCCTCTCTTTGCACCACCTCCCTACAAGTATAGGACAGAATGATACAGAGGCCCACCTTAATTTGTTTTCAAGGAGCAAGCTCTCTCTTCAGTCTTGGGTTTTAAAGGGGGAGGTGTGAGCCAGTAAAAATTTATGCATGCTGTACCCCTCTAACAAGTGTACAGCTGCCCTTCGCATCAAAAAACAATTCAATTTTGTTTGAGGGAAGGGGGCAACTGACACAGACTATACCCCTCAAAAGCCCCTTCTCCAAGACCGCACCTCAAAAGCTTCAAGGAGTTAATGAACACTAGTCTTTTACTATTGAACCCTTCTCTAGTCTCTTTGACAAAAAAGGCTCCAAACTTTAACACTTAAAGCCCCAATACCCACATGCAAATTCTCCAGACTCATCTCCATAAATTTTTTGAAAAAAAAAATTAGTAGAGAGAATTTCAGTTAAGATCGAAGCACATCCCCCATAGTGATCATTTTACAAATTCTCACATCCTTTTCTCGTGAGATGTATAATTTTGTTACTGTTAGGAAAGAAAACTGATATTTGTCACACTTGGAACTTAAAGGGTTTTAAATCATTTCTGACTTACAGCTTTTCTGAGTGGTTTTATTTCTGCCACTTTTGGTTTGGTGGAAGCTCTGTTGAGAGAAAGAGTAACACTTGAGTAAAGGGCGGTACACACTAGGCGACAAGTCGCAGCAACATGTCGTGGTGACAGATCACTCCAGGTGTACATGTCAGGCGACTAGTTTTAGCAACACGGTCAGGCGACATGTTGCAGCGACAAATCGCTTCCTGTGTACTGGAGAATTTTTTTGAAAATATTTGTCTATGCAACAGAATTTTGTCGCTGCAACAAGTTGCAAAAAATCAAATAGGACTGAATTTGTGCGACTTGTTGCAGCGACAAAATTCTGTTGCAGCAACAAAGATTTTAACAAAAATTCTCCATTACACACGGAGCGATTTGTCGCTGCAATGTGTCACCTAGTGAGTACCAACCTTAATGAGGTTGATGTAGAAAATTCAGAAAGGGCCACACTTGCCAGCTATTTTATCTTGGTGAGAATTCTTTACAAACAGAAAACTTCACAGAAAAAAGGAGGGCCGTGGTTTCCCTTGGACCACCCTTTAATGTGTCCATGATTATATTTAATAACTATTAATAATTATTCATTTTTCCTTTTTTATTCTTTGAAGTAAAGCTAAAACAAAATAGGAAAGAATTTTTTTTAAGGNGAGAATTTTTTTGAAAATATTTGTCTATGCAACAGAATTTTGTCGCTGCAACAAGTTGCAAAAAATCAAATAGGACTGAATTTGTGCGACTTGTTGCAGCGACAAAATTCTGTTGCAGCAACAAAGATTTTCACAAAAATTCTCCATTACACACGGAGCGATTTGTCGCTGCAATGTGTCACCTAGTGAGTACCAACCTTAATGAGGTTGATGTAGAAAATTCAGAAAGGGTCACACTTGCCAGCTATTTTATCTTGGTGAGAATTCTTTACAAACAGAAAACTTCACAGAAAAAGGGAGGGCCGTGGTTTCCCTTGGACCACCCTTTAATGTGTCCATGATTATATTTAATAACTATTAATAATTATTCATTTTTCCTTTTTTATTCTTTGAAGTAAAGCTAAAACAGAATAGGAAAGAATTTTTTTAAGGAATTAAAGATGTTTTTTAAGGACTGAACAAGGACTTTTAAGTTAAAACTCAATAATCTTTAAGATTTTTTGTGTCATTGGTTTTGTTTTGTTTTTTTTTTTCAAACACTCACACACAGTTTTATTGCTCAATTGTTTCAACTTTCACTCCAAAACAGTGTACATTGTATATTCATTTCTTAACAAAAAATATTGAAATAGACAGATTTAATACCTTCTTGGTGTTAGCTGGGCAGCAACTCCCTGATCATTATAGCAGACAGATTTATCAAAGCTGTAATGAAACAAACAAACAACAACATCAACAACGAGGTAAAGTTAATGACCTAGCTAATTTCAAACGACCCAATGAATACTTTGGATGTGTTTCTCTTTTGTTTGATTGTGACATGTAAGTTTAAATATATGCATTATAAACAGCATAAGCTCTCTAGATGAGCCCTTTGCGCTCTTGGATGAAATGTTAAAATAATAATGATAATAATAATAATAATAGTTATAATAATTTACAAATTTACTGTAGCACCTTTTAAAATAATTAAAAATTTATCAAAAGCGCTCTACAGTTTAAAATTTATAAAATGAATCTATAAATATATAAAACTGATAAAAGTAAAAATCCTGATAAAAATACATAAGTAAAATAAATATTGTCTAAAAATAATTAACAAAAATAATACATACAATCTTTCCCTTCCTACTGCAACATATTGGCCATTAGAATCAAGTTGAGATGGTTCTGTGATTTTGTGACCATCCACAGTAAACAACCTTAAACATGAACGGAAAAACAGATGAAAAGTCCTGAAAATCATCACTTTTGATTAACTTGTACCTAATCCACACTCCCCAGCCCACATCAAAAAGAAAAGAATTTAAGACTGACACAAAAAAGATACAATAGTGTACAAAAAAGGAAGGTACACGCATGGGTGCGGGGTTGCCCTCTCTCCCATCTTTATTGGAAAGACCGAGGAATTTCCCTGGGAAACTTAAAATCTTGGGGACCCCGAAATAGGAAAATTCTAATCAGTGCATTTTGACCAACCAGGGAAACAATTTTGGATTGAAGAACACAATTTTTATTTACCGATTAGGGGTACCTTGAGCTCTATTACCTTTATGATTTCAATTGTTTGAGTATTTTAATCGTGTTTATAACAAAGGTATTGATATAAAATAGCAATGGCAAATTTCTTTTCTCCGAAAATGTGGCGCTTTCGCACAGAGCAATGTTTTGCCAGTTGCTGGCACTTCCAGATAATCAGGTGCAACATAAAACATTCAAGGCATCTTATTTGAATGGTACATGTATATTTTATTACAAAATGCAATGACTGGAGGTGATTTCAATCAAAATACAGAGAAAAAACTTTACTTCACTTACTCATACACAGCACCATTCTTGCTGATTGTACTCACTTTCTCATTTACACATTCTAGGATCTGACAGTAATAGGTTAAGCATCAGTATTTACTAAGCTGAGCATTTCAGGTACAAAAATTATTCACTCTGTAAACATTTTACTGTAAGTTGTACATGTACAAACATAACTTTGCACAATATGTACAATTATAATTATGATTGTACATTCATCTACACACCAACAAAACCAATTCACAAATTAAGGAACTGCATAACTGGAACACCCATACTCTGTCGACAGTAGTAAAAATAATAAGAAAGTGGCCTTTCTCCCTCCATCATCTGCAATTCCTGCACAATTCATATTTTTGCCCCGCACAATTTGTCTCCAAAATCCTGCACAACTTTGTATTTTTTTTCCCACAACCTGTCTGCTATTAACTATACAACATAGCCTCCGAAAATACTGATTGTTAATTGCAGTCTTATATTAGCAAAGTTACCTCACCTGAGGCATTTTGAAGTCTGTCCTAAGTTGGACTCTTTTAGGTTTTGCAACAACTCCATTGCAAAAAACACTGAAATGAAAATGTTTCGCCACTTTTACAATATTTACACTATTTTATTGCCAATAGTTATTTTTTTATTACTTTTACCCACTTTTTGCCAGATCCCTCATAACACCACACGTGCTCTGATTGACTGTTTTCCTGTAATTACTGGGCATTATTTTCTAGTAATGACTGGGTATTAATACAATGCTCGTCAGAAGTGTTGAAATACTTGTATGCGTTTCCCCTTCCCCAAAGTAGATTTGGCTATTACAGTGGTCTCCAAAATACACGTGGCACAACACTGGGGAAGGTGAGTAGCACATTTGAGAGAGAACAAATTTGTGAAGAGTGAATGTAAGAAATTTTTAAGAAAATTCCAGAGAAACAGTTTATGTTTCAACGATTTGCGATGAGTATTGTAGCTAGGTGTCCAAGGCATATACAGTCTGAATCTAACTGGATAATGGACATCCTTATCTGGGACATCCATGTTATGGTTGATTGACAGCTGTCAAAAAGGGTATCTGCTGACCAGTGTCACCAACAAACAAAAACGGGGGGGGGGAGGGAAGGTGAAGAAAAAAAACAAACAAACGGGAGAAGAGGGAGAAAAATATAAAGGTGCAGGGGTCAGTGTCACTGATTATAAACCAAAAAGTTATCTTGAAATTTACTATGTGTACATGACCCAACCTTATGGGCATGGTTCTCAGCTCTTAAACAACAATTTACAGTGTATTTAGGCACATTTTGCTCAGCTTCAAACAGCATTCTTCAGCAAACATTCTGGCCAGGGTTCAGTGGGTTTAAAAAAGTGAAATTTTTGCAAAGTCTTACTTCTGCAGACCCACGATAATACATGTATTTGTGTGATTAAATTCAAAATAATAAATTAAGGTACACACAAACATTTTGGGGTTGTGATGTAGTCCTTCCTTGTGTTGTGTTCAGTGAACTTTGTGGCAATTTTGCTACTCTCTGAGTGTGCTTTTGGGTGAAGTATTTAGTCACAAGTCATGAAAATCCATTGCAAGATGTAAGAGTGCTTACGTGGTTATAATATTAACACTTACAGTCATATTGTCATTTTTGTGTTTTAGGGGGGTTTTGTATAAAAAGAAAATAGCCCAATAAAAAGATGTACTTTCAGTTTATACAAGACCACCATACACCTTCCTCCAAAGTCAAATCTTTAATCTGATAGGCTATTATAGCAGCACAAATAATATTAAACATTCCACATGCAGTACATGGTACAGTTCTAAGATCATGCAGGCAGTTTCAAAAGAAGGATTTTTGCTATCTGGTCCCCGTTAAAAGTTTAAAATACCATGGAAGGGTCTACGGTCAGAGAATCTTTGGCCATCTACTTCTATCTGCATAGTCACTCCAGTTAGAGTCCTCTTGAGTGAGAGTCGCTTACAGCAGGAGTTTATTTCAGTCAAACATACATTTGTAACTTATTTTTGCCTGGGATTTAGCTGTTGTCTGTATTATCAGGTTGTCTGTTTGAGTTGGGGTGTTTGCAAGGCCAGAGTGGATTGTATTCATACCCTTGACTGAACAATTCAGAGAACATGGTTTTGTTTAATCACTCATATTCAATTAGTAATGGTAATAGGACTGAGTGGAGTCCAATTCGGTCTGTAATCATACAAGTGATTAACAAAATCGGACAACCACGTAGCGGGAGTCCGATTTGTTTAATCACTAGTATGATTACAGACCGAATTGGAGGACACGAAGTTCTGTTACCATTATTAATCATAACTTTAACAAAATTTGTGACATAAAAGGCTATTTTTTAAACCAAAACACAAGAAATTCCAAGATTTTTATTGCTAGCAGTGAAAAAAAAAGCCAGTTAAGCGATCGCGTGATGGCACATACTGTCCATTTACTTAGGCATGACGCGTACTGTCCTATTAAACTGTCCAATTAAGGCTGAAATCAGGGCAGTTGATAGCCAATCAGATTTGACATTTTTGTTATGGTTATGATTACAGACCAAATTGGATACCACTCAGCCCTTTACACTAACATTTTAACAACCTATTCTTAAGTCTTGTATAACACTCACATGATAGTTTTTATCTCTTCTCTTTTCCTTTGACCATAAATACGAGCTCTGCCAGGTACATTCCTGAACTTGCGATGATTGAGTTGCACAAAATTTATCTGTACATAATAATTTCGTTAGAAGGGGGGAACAACAACAACAACAACAACAATACCTTTATTCACCTTGTACTTAATTAATTACATACTCACGTGAAAGAGAAAAAAATATATATTTATTTGTACTTAATAAGGCCTGGAGCTGAAATAATCCTAAGATTAGAATGGTACATGTATATTTTATTACAAAATGCAATGACTGGAGGTGATTTCAATCAAAATACAGAGAAAAAACTTTACTTCACTTACTCATACACAGCACCATTCTTGCTGATTGTACTCACTTTCTCATTCACACATTCTAGGATCTGACAGTAATAGGTTAAGCATCAGTATTTACTAAGCTGAGCATTTCAAGTACCAAAATTATTCACTCTGTAAACATTTTACCGCGGCTTTACACGCACAAACATAATTTTACACAATATGTACAATTACATGTACATTCATACTCTACCCGCTTACTAATTAAACCAATTCAAAAATTAAGGATGGGTAAAACTAGAACATCAATACTCTACCAATAATAAAAGAAAATAAGTATGTACAAACAGTCTTTCTTCCTCTGTCACCTACAATTCCCAAACAATTCATGTTTTTGTCCTGCACAATTTGCCTCCAAAATCCTGCACACATTTATTTTTTTTCCCACAACCGGTCTGATATTAACTTAACAATGTAGCTTCAGAAAACAAACAGATTGTTAATTGCAATCTTATATTAGCAAAGTTACCTCACCTGAGGCATCTTGAAGTCTGTCCTAAGTTGGACTCTTTTAGGTTTTGCAACAACTCCATTACAAAAAACACTGAAATGAAAATGTTTCGTCACTTTTACAATATTTACAATATACTATTGTCAATAGTCATTTATTTTTTATAGCTTTACCGATTCACGCCTTCTTACTACTATTTTTGCCAGATCCCTCATAACACCACGCGTGCTCTGATTGGCTGTTTTCCTGTAATTACTGGGCATTATTTTCTAGTAATGACTGGGTATTAATACAATGCTCGTCAGAAGTGTTGAAACACTTGTGTGCGTTTCCCCTTCCCCAATGTAGATTTGGCTATTACAGTGGTCTCCAAAATACATGTGGCTCAACACTGGGGAAGGAGAGGGGCACATCTGAGTGAGAACAAGAGTGTGAAGAGTTAATGTAAGAAATTTTCATGAAAATTTAAGTTTCTGTGTCAACGATTTGTGATGAGTATTGTAGCTAGGTGTCCAAGGCACATACAATCTGTATCTAACTGGATAGTGGACATCCTTATCTGGGACATCCACGTTATGGTCGATTGACAGCTGTCAAAAGAGTATCTGCTGACCAGTGTCACTAACAAACAAAAACAGGGGGGGAGGTGAAGAAGAAAAACAAACCAACCGGAGAAGAGGGAGAAAAATGAAAAGGTGCAGGGGTCAGTGTCACTGATTATAAACCAAAACATTATCTTAAAATTTACTATGTGTACATGCCCCAACCTTATGGGCATGGTTCTCAGCTCTTAAACAACAATTTACAGTGTATTTAGGCACATTTTGCTCAGCTTCAAACAGCATTTTTCAGCAAACATTCTGGCCAGGGTTCAGTGGGTTTAAAAAAGTGAAATTTTTGCAAAGTCTTACTTGTGCAGACCCACGATAATACATGTATGTGATTAAATTCAAAATAATAAATTAAGGTACACACAAACATTTTGGGGTTGTGATGTAGTCCTTCCTTGTGTTGTGTTCAGTGAACTTTGTGGCAATTTTGCTACTCTCTGAGTGTGCTTTTGGGTGAAGTATTTAGTCACAAGTCATGAAAATCCATTGCAAGATGTAAGAGTGCTTACGTGGTTATAATATTAACACTTACAGTCATATTGTCATTTTTGTGTTTTAGGGGGGTTTTGTATAAAAAGAAAATAGCCCAATAAAAAGATGTACTTTCAGTTTATACAAGACCACCATACACCTTCCTCCAAAGTCAAATCTTTAATCTGATAGGCTATTATAGCAGCACAAATAATATTAAACATTCCACATGCAGTACATGGTACAGTTCTAAGATCATGCAGGCAGTTTCAAAAGAAGGATTTTTGCTATCTGGTCCCCGTTAAAAGTTTAAAATACCATGGAAGGGTCTACGGTCAGAGAATCTTTGGCCATCTACTTCTATCTGCATAGTCACTCCAGTTAGAGTCCTCTTGAGTGAGAGTCGCTTACAGCAGGAGTTTATTTCAGTCAAACATACATTTGTAACTTATTTTTGCCTGGGATTTAGCTGTTGTCTGTATTATCAGGTTGTCTGTTTGAGTTGGGGTGTTTGCAAGGCCAGAGTGGATTGTATTCATACCCTTGACTGAACAATTCAGAGAACATGGTTTTGTTTAATCACTCATATTCAATTAGTAATGGTAATAGGACTGAGTGGAGTCCAATTCGGTCTGTAATCATACAAGTGATTAACAAAATCGGACAACCACGTAGCGGGAGTCCGATTTGTTTAATCACTAGTATGATTACAGACCGAATTGGAGGACACGAAGTTCTGTTACCATTATTAATCATAACTTTAACAAAATTTGTGACATAAAAGGCTATTTTTTAAACCAAAACACAAGAAATTCCAAGATTTTTATTGCTAGCAGTGAAAAAAAAGCCAGTTAAGCGTTCGCGTGATGGCACATACTGTCCATTTACTTAGGCATGACGCGTACTGTCCTATTAAACTGTCCAATTAAGGCTGAAATCAGGGCAGTTGATAGCCAATCAGATTTGACAATTTTGTTATGGTTATGATTACAGACCAAATTGGATACCACTCAGCCCTTTACACTAACATTTTAACAACCTATTCTTAAGTCTTGTATAACACTCACATGATAGTTTTGATCTCTTCTCTTTTCCTTTGACCATAAATACGAGCTCTGCCAGGTACATTCCTGAACTTGCGATGATTGAGTTGAACAAAATTTATCTGTACATAATAATTTTGTTAGAAGGGGAGAACCAAAGGTTTATTTAAATAACTCAAGCTGGCCACGTATCCATGGATACAAATCCGGATATTTTTTCACACAGAGGCAGATTCACTGGTTTTGTGTGAACAGAAGGCTGTCTCGTGTAAGGAAAAAATAATAGGTTTTGACAAAAACCGGATTCATGTCGACGGGGCATAAGTTTTTAACTTAAATTGAATGCATTGCTTTTTACACGTCCTTTTTGAACATAATATGAAGAAAAAACAATAAATTTAAGACAATGCAGTCACATTTTCTTTTCCACTACCGTTGAGAGCCTGATAATCGAATCAAGCTGGGAGACTTTTTAAACATTTATTCAATACGCTTAAGTATTTTAATATTTAATGTAAAACGTTTAGCAACCGTATCACTAAGAAGTCTCAAGGGAGTCCGATTAATAAAGTAGTAAAACTTCTATGACATAATTAAGCTTGTAAGATTTATAGTAGGGAGCACAGCGTGTATTCTGGACAGAGCGAGAAAAATTGCAGGTTATGCATTTATGATTTAATATATGTGAGCTTAAAGTAATTAAAAATNTACTGTCCATTTACTTAGGCATGACGCGTACTGTCCTATTAAACTGTCCAATTAAGGCTGAAATCAGGGCAGTTGATAGCCAATCAGATTTGACAATTTTGTTATGGTTATGATTACAGACCAAATTGGATACCACTCAGCCCTTTACACTAACATTTTAACAACCTATTCTTAAGTCTTGTATAACACTCACATGATAGTTTTGATCTCTTCTCTTTTCCTTTGACCATAAATACGAGCTCTGCCAGGTACATTCCTGAACTTGCGATGATTGAGTTGAACAAAATTTATCTGTACATAATAATTTTGTTAGAAGGGGAGAACCAAAGGTTTATTTAAATAACTCAAGCTGGCCACGTATCCATGGATACAAATCCGGATATTTTTTCACACAGAGGCAGATTCACTGGTTTTGTGTGAACAGAAGGCTGTCTCGTGTAAGGAAAAAATAATAGGTTTTGACAAAAACCGGATTCATGTCGACGGGGCATAAGTTTTTAACTTAAATTGAATGCATTGCTTTTTACACGTCCTTTTTGAACATAATATGAAGAAAAAACAATAAATTTAAGACAATGCAGTCACATTTTCTTTTCCACTACCGTTGAGAGCCTGATAATCGAATCAAGCTGGGAGACTTTTTAAACATTTATTCAATACGCTTAAGTATTTTAATATTTAATGTAAAACGTTTAGCAACCGTATCACTAAGAAGTCTCAAGGGAGTCCGATTAATAAAGTAGTAAAACTTCTATGACATAATTAAGCTTGTAAGATTTATAGTAGGGAGCACAGCGTGTATTCTGGACAGAGCGAGAAAAATTGCAGGTTATGCATTTATGATTTAATATATGTGAGCTTAAAGTAATTAAAAATCGCGTCAGCTGATCCAAAAAAACTGAGGGGTTGGATATCAGATCACGATTAACACTATAATTTCGCCCTACCTCTGGAAGTTTAACTTGTTGATGTAGAGGTTTTTCTTTTACTTCATACCTAGAGTAATAAAAATGAGTATTACCAGCTAAGCAAAATTAAACATGCTTCTCATCCATGGGCGATCAAAAAGCAACACTCAAAGTGCTAATCTAAAAAACAACAGATCGATGGCGCGATCGCAAACAAATCGATTAGCTTACTCTACTTTCTTG